CGACTTCCAGGAACCTTTATTTTTTTGCTTTGCTTAGCACTGTCTTCCGGTCATTTTCACGCCCCCTTCGAGATGGTGGACGATCTTCCACAGGGCGGAGCCCCTCCCGAGCTCGAGATGGATCCCGAGGTCGAGCCCTTGCCACTCCGCGTCCGACCGTTCGATCCGGAGACCTACAGGCCTGCAGTTCACGTGATGCTCCCCGACGGACTACGCCAGTTCAAGAGCTTTGATAGGCACGTGCCTCCCGAGCTACTACTGCGTGAGCCTACCTCCCACCTGTCCTTTGGCGCTTCCGAGGTAACTCTCTTTTCTCTGTTTTACTTTCTGCAATGTAGGGCGCAAAACTGTCGTAGCTTATTTATGCTCTTTAACTGCTTTAGCTCAGATACCCTCTATACTGTAGTTGATTATAAACATACGTGCAACTGATATCTGCTTGGGACTGACACATGCACACACACTGCACTAACCCTGAATCACTCAAATACACTGTGCTCACTGTATTTCACTGCATACCCACTGGTACCCAGCATTTGCTTGAGTCTGAAAATATGCACACATGCTATACTGTACTGAACCACCCGAACACGCTGACGCATCACACGCTGTAGTTCACTGTAAGCACACCGGCACCCGGTATTTGTTTAAATCTGTCAAACTTGCACACATGCTACATTTGCTCTGAACCACCCAAACACACTGACGCATCACACGCTGTAGTTCACTGTAAGCACACCGGCACCTGGTATTTGTTCAAACCTGTCAAACTTGCACACATGCTACGTCTGCTCTGAACCACCCAAACACGCTGACGCATCACACGCTGCAGTTCACTGTAAGCACACCGGCACCCGGTATTTGTTTAAATCTGTCAAACTTGCACACATGCTACATCTGCTCTGAACCACCCAAACACGCTGACGCATCACACGCTGTAGTTCACTGTAAGCACACCGGCACCCGATATTTGTTCAAACCTGTCAAACTTGCACACATGTTACATCTGCTCTGAACCACCCAAACACGCTAACGCATCACACGCTGTAGTTCACTGTAAGCACACCGGCACCCGGTATTTGTTTAAATCTGTCAAACTTGCACACATGCTACATCTGTATGCTTCTTAGAACTGTATTTTGAATATTGCCTTGCAATTATTGTCTTCTGTTTACAGGGGGATTCCCATACCATCCGCGGGTATGGGAACATCGGCGCTCGGGAGTGGTATGCCGAGCTTCCTGATGCAGTCCGTCGCATAGTAGACCAGGCGGGCTTTGGCACTTTCTGCAGAGGACTCTCCAGGCTCACTACATGCAGACCTCTCCTCGCCGCTCTGGTGGAGAGGTGGTGAGACACCACCGATTCATTCCATTTCTCCGCAGTAGGGGACATGACGATGACCCCTTACGATTTCTCGATGCTCACAGGCATCGGGGTAGGGGGTGATCCGATCCCCTTTGATATTGACATGGATGAGTGGACTGCTGCTTAGGTCCATCTGCTGGGTGAGGCGCCACCTCTCGCTCGTCCAGGCTTTGTCCGGTATTCCTGGTTTGAGGTGCAGTTCAGGGTCCAGCCCACCCTTGTTGATGCAGCCCCGATGACCCCGGAGGCCGTGGAGAGGTACGCACGCGGCTTCCTCATGTTCTTGTATCTTAATAATTCATAATTTTAATACAATTAAAAAATTCATTTTTAAGTATATTAATTTTTTTCACCTTATAAAAAAGTCTAAAAAATTACAAACGAGGCTTTATTAAGTTATCTTTTTGTATGAAATATATACATATACGATGTCAAATCCACATAAGTATTGTAGCACCATACTGTCACGACCCAAACCCATCCCTGTAGGTTTAGCATCGTAATCGACCAGTAATCCTTGGATTACGAAAGACCTCTTGACAGATCAACATATAATAAGGGGTTGTGGAAGCAAATATACAAAATATAAATGGTCCAGTGATACACTGCTCACACTGCACACTCTGCACAATACACTGCACAACACATGGCTCTGCTATTTCTGCTTTTACTCTATATTCTGCTTTATCTGATAAATGCACTGGTATTTACCTTGCAGTTGTGGGTTTATGCCTACTTTCCTAGGCTCGCTCCTGTACCGGCGACGGAGACTCCTCTGGTCGTCCCATTTTCGCGTCGCTTTGACGGGAGATGCACCCGGAGGCCACGAGAGACATTTGGCTTTTTCCGCCGCTATTTCGACACCATCACCCCTACCGAGGTATGTTTTACTTGCAGTTCATTTAAGCTTCGCCTTTCCACTGCATATTTTAAAAACAGTAGATAACAGACTGTATGTCATTTTCAGATCACTTGGCAGCCTTGGGCTCCGTTGCCGGCGACGATGCGGGACCGGTTTGCCGGTGCTGAGGAGACCTCGCGTTTCCGGATCTTACTGGAGGGCCCGGTCTGTTGGGCTTGGTACCTGGGTGAGCGTTTCCTACGCCGGACCCTAGGGTTACCGGAGCAGATAGTCCCGGTTCACCCTCCTGAGGACATGAGGGAGACCGAGAGGCTCACCACCGAGCAGATGGCCGATTATACTATCGGCTGGGAGGCGACCCGCTTCAGAGGCATCGGTGACTACAGAGAGTACGTACAGACGTACATTATGCGATCTCTGAGCGGCGGCCGTCGAGCGGAGAGAGCCAGGCCCGTGGCGCCAACAGCTGGGGCAAGAGCGGGAGCTGGAGCAGGAGCTTCGAGGAGGGCTCGACTCCGTGGCAGGGGCGGAGTTCAGGGAGGACGGGGGACCGGTTGGCCTGCTCTGCCCACTTCATTGACTTTCCAGGAGCAGGGTGGGGCGACCTACCAAATCCCCTTCGCCCTTCCGCCGGCTGATCACGAGTTTGTCGGTGTCCCCGACTTGCCTCCGGTATGTATTACTGCATTTTTGTACAGTCATTTCATTTCAATTTATTTGATATTCCACAGAATATTGATGTATCTGATACTTTTGCAGGCTTCTTCTGAGTATACCCGGCAATCATTGGAGATGAATGCCTCCATGATGGGGATGCTACAGCGGACCTT